ACCAAAAGAACTCGGAAATACACCTTGGGACGCCATCATTTGCGTGAAGCTTTGTTGCGCCGTCCCCGGAACACCTACATTTACTCGCTTCTCCAACTCCACGTAAATGTAGGGAGTTTTTTGTTCTTCAATCAACTCTAAGATATCCTCACTGGATTCAATTTTCATCTTCACTTTTCGTTCCCTTCCATCAAATACTGCCCACAATAAGTACTCAAAATTACAAGGATCGGCCTTCAATAATGCTTGAACACGAGAAACTACTTCAGAATACATTTGTCGGCTGTAATTTATTCTCATCAGCTCTACCACTCAACCAAGATATGAAACCCAAGAAAACATACCACCATAGCTCACGCATACTCTAACACGGGTGCTAGCCATTCAAATATGGGAACAACAAAAGGAATTATAATGAAAGAAACAGAAAATTGCAGTAGAGAAGAATGGTGCAGACGTGGAATTGTTAGAGATCACTGTTTTTTTGCCTGCATGATAAATGCACAGACGAAATCCTCACCTGTGAAAAAGCAGTCAATTAATGAGGTGCGTAACTTATGCGACAGATATGCGATAAAATTCTGAATAGTCGTAAAATTTCCATGACGATATGGCCCTGCGAAAAAATGGCGCGTTATCGTCAATTAAATTATGCTTGATTCGATTTTGTTATGCGATTCTTCAATATGCGAGGGAAAAAATGTCGCATCATTGTCAATTATCCGACGGATATATACGGAAGTTTTTCGCATACCAGTAAATTTTGCGATTGACTTGGATATGCAATTTCCAGAAAATGCGAATTCAACAAATAATGCGAATGATATGCGAAACGTTTTCGCACAGTCATAAATTTGCAAGGTCGATATAGCGCTGCGAAATAAGGCGCATAATCATCGTAAATTATGCTGCATTCGATTTTGATATGCGATTCTTAAAACTGCGAAAGATATTCGCATATTTGTAAATTATGCGTTGGATGTGGATATGCGATTACAAAAATGCAAAATGTTTTCGCATAATCATAAATTATGCATCCGCTTGGATATGTGCTGGTTCATTTGGACATGAGACTGTAATATCGCATAGCATTTCGTGAGTTTTGGGGTGTAAAATAAGTTATTTGATGGGGCGGTGTGTAAAAGAAAGAATAGATTTATAATGGGGTGAAAAAGATTTTGACCCTAACATATATTTATCGTCCCATCGTGTTTTGAAGCAAAATGGTACACATTTAAGAAAGTCGAGGAAAATAAGGGTAAATAGGGGCAAATACGAAAATGTAAGCAACGTCTTCGGAAAAACTTGTTTTCGAAAATGACACCATTATTTGATGTGGATAACATATATTTATCGTCCCATCGTATTTTGAAGCAAAATGGTATACATTTAAGAAAGTCGAGAAAAAATAAGGGTAAATAGGGGTAAGTACGAAAATGAAAGAAACGTCTCCGGAAATACTTGTTTTCGAACACGACACCATTATTTGATGTGGATAACATATAATTATTGCCCCGTCGTAATTTGAAGCAAAATGGTACACTTTTAAGAAACTCGAGGAAAATAAGGGTAAATAGGGGCAAGTACGAAAATGTAAGCAACGTCTCCGGAAAGACTTGTTTTCAAACACGACACCATTATGTGATGTGGATAACATATATTTATCGCCCCATCGTGTTTTGAAGCAAAATGGTACACGTTTAAGAAAGTCGAGGAAATAAGATTAAATAGGGGCAAGTACGAAAATGTAAGCAACGTCTTCGGAAAGACTTGTTTTCGAACACGACACCATTATTTGATGTGGATAACATATATTCATTGCCCCATCGTGTTTTGAAGCAAAATGGTACACGTTTAAGAAAGTCGAGGAAAATAAGAGTAAATAGGGGCAAGTACGAAAATGTAAGCAACGTCTCCGGAAAGACTTGTTTTCGAACACGACACCATTATTTGATGTGGATAACATATATTTATCGCCCCACCGTGTTTCGAAGCAAAATGGTACACGTTTAAGAAAGTCGAGGAAAATAAGGGTAAATAGGGGCAAATACGAAAATGTAAGCAACGTCTCCAGAAACACTTGTTTTCGAACACGATACCATTATTTGATGTGGATAACATATATTTATCTCCCCATCGTATTTTGAAGCAAAATGGTATACGTTTAAGAAAGTCGAGGAAAATAAGGGTAAATAGGGGCTAGTACGAAATGTAAGCAACATCTCTGGAAAAACTTGTTTTCCAACACAACACCATTATTTGATGTGGATAACATATATTTATCGCCCCATCGTGTTTTGAAACAAAATGGTACACGTTTAAGAAAGTCGTGGAAAATAAGGGTAAATTGGGGCAAGTACGAAAATGTAAGCAACGTCTCCCGAAAAGACATGTTTTCAACCACGACACCATTATTTGATGTGGATAACATATATTTATCGCCCCGTTGTGTTTTGAAGCAAAACGATACACTGTTAGGAAAGTCGAGGAAAATAAGGGTAAATAAGGGCAAGTACGGAAAATGTAAGCAACGTCTCCGGAATGACTTGTTTTCGAACACGGCACCATTATTTGATGTGGATAAATATATTTATCGCCCTATCGTGTTTTGAAGAAAAATGGTACACATTTAAGAAAGTCGAGGAAAATAAGGTTGAATAGGGGCAAGTAGGAAAATGTAAGCAACGTCTCCGGAAAGACTTGTTTTCAAACATGACACCATTATTTGATGTGGATAACATATATTTATCGCCCCATCGTGTTTTGAAGCAAAATGGTACACGTTTAAGAAAGTCGAGGAAAATAAGATTAAATAGGGGCAAGTACGAATATGTAAGCAACGTCTTCAGAAAGACTTGTTTTCGAACACGACACCATTATTTGATGTGGATAACATATATTTATCGCCCCATCGTGTTTTTAAGCAAAATGGTACACATTTAAGAAAGTCAAGGAAAATAAGAGTAAATATGGGCAAGTACGAAAATTTAAGCAACGTCTCCGGAAAGACTTGTTTTCGAACACGACACCATTATTTGATGTGGATAACATATATTTATCGCCCCATCGTGTTTTGAAGCAA